GGAGGGAAGGAGGGAGGGAAGGAGGGAAGGAGGGAAGGAGGGAGGGAAGGAGGGAAGGAGGGAAGGAGGGAGGGAAGGAGGGAAGGAGGGAAGGAGGGAGGGAAGGAGGGAAGGAGGGAAGGAGGGAGGGAAGGAGGGAAGGAGGGAAGGAGGGAGGGAAGGAGGGAAGGAGGGAAGGAGGGAGGGAAGGAGGGAAGGAGGGAAGGAGGGAGGGAAGGAGGGAAGGAGGGAAGGAGGGAGGGAAGGAGGGAAGGAGGGAAGGAGGGAGGGAAGGAGGGAAGGAGGGAAGGAGGGAGGGAAGGAGGGAAGGAGGGAAGGAGGGAGGGAAGGAGGGAAGGAGGGAAGGAGGGAGGGAAGGAGGGAAGGAGGGAAGGAGGGAGGGAAGGAGGGAAGGAGGGAAGGAGGGAGGGAAGGAGGGAAGGAGGGAAGGAGGGAGGGAAGGAGGGAAGGAGGGAAGGAGGGAGGGAAGGAGGGAAGGAGGGAAGGAGGGAGGGAAGGAGGGAAGGAGGGAAGGAGGGAGGGAAGGAGGGAAGGAGGGAAGGAGGGAGGGAAGGAGGGAAGGAGGGAAGGAGGGAGGGAAGGAGGGAAGGAGGGAAGGAGGGAGGGAAGGAGGGAAGGAGGGAAGGAGGGAGGGAAGGAGGGAAGGAGGGAAGGAGGGAGGGAAGGAGGGAAGGAGGGAAGGAGGGAGGGAAGGAGGGAAGGAGGGAAGGAGGGAGGGAAGGAGGGAAGGAGGGAAGGAGGGAGGGAAGGAGGGAAGGAGGGAAGGAGGGAGGGAAGGAGGGAAGGAGGGAAGGAGGGAGGGAAGGAGGGAAGGAGGGAAGGAGGGAGGGAAGGAGGGAAGGAGGGAAGGAGGGAGGGAAGGAGGGAAGGAGGGAAGGAGGGAGGGAAGGAGGGAAGGAGGGAAGGAGGGAGGGAAGGAGGGAAGGAGGGAAGGAGGGAGGGAAGGAGGGAAGGAGGGAAGGAGGGAGGGAAGGAGGGAAGGAGGGAAGGAGGGAGGGAAGGAGGGAAGGAGGGAAGGAGGGAGGGAAGGAGGGAAGGAGGGAAGGAGGGAGGGAAGGAGGGAAGGAGGGAAGGAGGGAGGGAAGGAGGGAAGGAGGGAAGGAGGGAGGGAAGGAGGGAAGGAGGGAAGGAGGGAGGGAAGGAGGGAAGGAGGGAAGGAGGGAGGGAAGGAGGGAAGGAGGGAAGGAGGGAGGGAAGGAGGGAAGGAGGGAAGGAGGGAGGGAAGGAGGGAAGGAGGGAAGGAGGGAGGGAAGGAGGGAAGGAGGGAAGGAGGGAGGGAAGGAGGGAAGGAGGGAAGGAGGGAGGGAAGGAGGGAAGGAGGGAAGGAGGGAGGGAAGGAGGGAAGGAGGGAAGGAGGGAGGGAAGGAGGGAAGGAGGGAAGGAGGGAGGGAAGGAGGGAAGGAGGGAAGGAGGGAGGGAAGGAGGGAAGGAGGGAAGGAGGGAGGGAAGGAGGGAAGGAGGGAAGGAGGGAGGGAAGGAGGGAAGGAGGGAAGGAGGGAGGGAAGGAGGGAAGGAGGGAAGGAGGGAGGGAAGGAGGGAAGGAGGGAAGGAGGGAGGGAAGGAGGGAAGGAGGGAAGGAGGGAGGGAAGGAGGGAGGAAGGAAGGAAGAGAGAAAAACATCCCTCTGAATAAAAGCTACTTACTTATAAAAGGCCTGGTTCTCCACCCCACATTTCCAAAGATGTTTGCAGGCAGCTGGTGTTGAAGTATGAAATGCCAACATGGCTTTTTTCTAATAAAATATAACAAAACAAGAAACAAGGTATTAAATACACTTTCTGTTTTCCTGTTTTTCCTCTAGGTGTTTACCTATTTGTATCCTGACTCCCAACACAAAGATTTCAAGCTTGACATGTTACTATGGTATTCGCCCACTTCTTTACCCTTTTTAGACATCACTAATCTAAGATTTGTTTCTGATAAAAAGTAGCCTCACAATCCTTTTCAGCACTCCAAGATTCACCTACTTGTCTATCAGACTTGGAATACTCTAAAAACTTATTTGCTATCTTTGAATAAATAGTATTTGAGTACTTTTGAGTCTAGTTTTTGCAAACTGCAGAAAAAATTAAAACTGCAAACTGCAAAAGCTAGCTCTGAGGTTCAACATTTTTTTAACAGATTCTTCCCAAATGCATTCCCTAATGAAACCACAACCAGTAACTTGTAATTCTTTTATTTCAGGATTTGGGGTTTCTAGATCCCATCTATAACATTCTAATAGCAGGGGTTGATAGCCTGGTGCCTTGTTCGGTAAGTGCTCATTAGTTACTTATCTTTGGATAGTTGACAAAAAGAAGTAGGGAGAGATTTCAGTTATTTAAGTCTAACCCAGCCTATTTTTTACACGAGAGCACATACAGTCAGCAGGATCATATTCACTGACTTCATTTCTAAACGTGCAAACCAATGTTCATTTGTTTACCTCTAATGTGTTTTCAGTGTGTAGCTTCCGTTATCATCACACACTTCACATTCACGGTCTTGGGAGCCATAATACTACAGGCATATTTTATCCTTGAACCTCTCTCGTGCACACACACTTACACATGCACACAGGTACTTAGGAAAACAGTGTCTGACCTCCTTCTGGGTGCCAATCACATAAAACGTCTTCCCTTCAAACTTCAATTTGCAGACATCTGGCCTAAGAAAAGAAAATCTCTGGGTGAGAAGGGGAAAAAAAAGTGGCAGCTAACCAAGGTAACTGGCTTTCCCATAGGAATTGGCTGACTCACAAATGCCAAGCAGACTGCAATGAAACAAGATATTATCTTATCACTGGTGAAGGTCTAATGAGCAGTGAAAAACCCCAAGTGAATTATACAGCAATTTTCTTCCCAAGCGAGGATCCATAAACTGCTTCAAATTATTTATTATATTTTTTTATCGATAGACTGCATCTTTCTTCCTGGGAGCTCTGGGAGTGTTTATGAACAGTAACAAGCAAAACAGCATTAATTGGTCAGCCCATTTTGCAAGGCAGGAAAAATATGGTTATTTTAGATCCCATTAATGAAATGATATGGGTTCACAGTGTCTGATTTTCTGATCCTTTCACATCTATCTGCACATACCACAGTGCAAAATTTTCATTCCTATTCTCTCTGCTTATAAAAGAATCGTTTTATTATATATTGAGAGGCTCATAATTGTAAGAACAACTTGATAAATAAGAAGTTGTGGCCAAAAGACAAACTTGAAGTATAATCTTAAGGAACTGCTAGATTTAAACTCTCCTGGGCCCCAGCCATGGTGACAGAAGCAGTGGGGTGCCTGTAGAACTAGCTTAGGGGAGACTGGGGCAAGAGAATCATGGCATGGCTAGACCCTGTCAAAAATACTTCTCTCTCTCTCTTTCTCTCCCCTTCTCTCTTTTCCCCTTTCTTTGTCTTTTTCTCTCTCATAGAAAAACACATTTTTCTTTTCATTTAAATCTGCCTAAAATTTAGACTCCAAGTCACCTTCTTCATGAAAAGTATGTGGAAAGAGAGGAGAGAATTATGCTTTTATTCCCTTGGATGTAATTCCTAAGATAGCCATGTGGCTTTTTCTTAGTGGATATAGAACAATGAGGTGACATTATATGTTTAAGTAGAGGAGGAAGAGGAGTTGTGTGAGTAACAAAGCTCACTGAATTTATTTTAAAAAGAAAAAAACAGGATTGATATGGGAAGAATTTGTTTTAGTGATATGGACATGGCTGTTACAAATATGTGTCTATGTGTGCCTAAACAGAAGCCAGGATGGTTGGTGTCTGCTTCAGCACTGCATTAGAAACACCCACAAGACGGAGAAGCCGGAAACCAATCATCCCACCAAGATCATCTATTTCAATTCTTTGGTGTATCCAGGAAGAAAATGAGACTCAAAGAGGAGAAAAACCTGCAATGAATCACGATGCATCAGGTTCTAACCTAACTACTCCAGGATTCAAGCAATGCTGAAGCCCGAGGCTCTAACACCCTTAGGGACCCTCAAGCCTTTTGCAGTCCCCAAGTGGGAAGTGGAAGACCCCAAATTGCCGATGCTCCCCAAAATCAGTAAGTATTCCTAAGGAAGCTATTCTAAAATGGACTGAAGGTGATTAACATTGGAGCTTCTTCGCAAGATGCCAAAAATACAGAAAATCAAATAGTACTGTTAAATAGGTACTACACTTTGTAGTTCATGAATCACAGAATTACAAAGTACTCTCACACGCATCATTTCGTTTGTGTCTCCCCTACCTCCTTCCCTCCTTTCAATGCAGTTGGAAATGACACAGTCCCACTCTGTGCATGAGTACCCTGAGACTCAGAGAATTTAAATGATGTTGGAAGGCAAGTAAGAGTTTTGAGAATGCTGATTGTGGAAGAACAGAACGAGTGGGAGCAAAGGGAGTGGTAAGTATAAACTGAGTAAAATACAATGATGGAGAGGGAAAAGGGAGCAATTTAGGAAGACGGGGGGGGTGGTCTTAGAAAGAAAGACCTGATGATTTAGAAAGAAAGAAAGAGAGAGAGAGAGAGAAAGAGAGAGAGAAAGAGAGAAAGAGAGAAAGAAAGAAAAGAAAGAAAGAAAGAAAGAAAGAAAGAAAGAAAGAAAGAAAGAAAGAAAGAAAGAAAGAAAGAAAGAAAGAAAAAAGGAAGGAAGGAAGGAAGGAAGGAAGGAAGGAAGGAAGGAAGGAAGGAAGAAAGAAGAAAGAGAAAATAGTACACTTTAGCTGACTGAGGCGCATCAGCTCATTATTAGGAAGGCAGGTATGGTAGTATCTTTGATTGAACAAATATATAGTGTATTCAAGATGAGAAAATGCATTTGGCACACTGTAATGATAAATGGTGATAGAAGGCAGGCGCTAAGAGGAGATGCTACAAAAGAGGAGGGACTTTATAAGGAGGTATTAAAGAAACCTGAAGCTAAAAGATCCACGAAGCTGAGGTTCAGGTTAGCACAAGAGAGCACTTCCAATGCAGGACTGAGGATGCCCAGGTTCCCTTCATAAGAACTTCAGACCCTCTCTCGTGGCCTTGCTTCCGAGATGACTAAGAAAAGAAGGAACAACGGCCGTGCCAAAAAGGGCCGTGGCCATGTGCAGCCAATTCGCTGCACGAACTGCGCCCGATGCGTGCCCAAGGACAAGGCTATTAAGAAGTTCGTCATCCGAAACATAGTAGAGGCCGCAGCCGTCAGGGACATCTCCGAAGCAAGTGTCTTCGATGCCTATGTGCTCCCCAAGCTGTATGTGAAGCTACATTACTGTGTGAGTTGCGCCATTCATAGCAAGGTAGTCAGGAACCAATCTCGGGAAGCTCGCAAAGACCGAACACCCCCACCCCGATTTAGACCTGCGGGTGCTGCCCCTCGCCCTCCACCAAAGCCCATGTAAGGAGCCGAGTCTTTAAGGACTGAAGAACTGTCTGTCCTCTGGGGGGAAAAATAAAACACCGAGTATACATTAAAAAAAAAAAAGAACTTCAGACCCAAGGGCTCCGACCTTGGGTTTTCCAGGTCATTCCACAATCCAGTAAGATAAGAGTGAGAAGCTGTCAGGGGTCATTGGGGGGGACCTGGGTCAGGCTGTCATGTGAAAAGAACTAAACCTTTGTAGTATTCCATTGTGCATATGTCATTCAACCTTTCTCACTCTACCAAAACCACTTTTCTCCCTTACTGGACATAGTGGGTGCTGGTCACCTACCACCCTCCATCCTCACAGTTCTTTACCAGCATGACCTAGACTCCACCCTCAAGGTCACATGTTGTGCTCTTTCTAGTCCAAGAGGGTGGATCTTAATTTAACCAATCCAGGCATGGCATTCCCATTCATCTCATTTGGGTTAAATAAGCACTTGTGATCTAATTTTGTCTGTCCATTTAGATATACAGGGAGTCTCCTAAAGGGCTTCTAACATGTTGTCTTTGTTGAAAGATTCATGGAAAGGGCTTCTCTCCCCCAATTTCTGGAGATTGCTTTGTGAAGATGTGAAGGCCAGAGATGTGAGATGGGTCTGGGGACAAAGCCACCCCATGAAATGACAGAAAAAGAAATGGAGATCTATGTCTTCTTCAGTGCTGCCCAGCAGTTACCGGACTGTGGATCTGCCACAACTCTGGAATTTTTGATTTGTGAGCTAATCATTCCTTTCATTTGTAAACCATTCTGAGTAGATTCTGTTATCTTTTGTCAAAAGCAACTCCACTGAAATAAAGGTCTTCAATTACTTCACGGAAAAATGTATCTTATGAAAAATTTTCCATGTTTTTTTTTTTATTTTTTGCACCAAAATAAACTCACATGTTAACTCTACTTCTGAAGTCTCAAACTTTCTGAAGTCTCCTCCATCATATACTGGCTAATAATGAATGAGTTTGCACCAAGGATTCAAAAGAAGAGAAGAGTAGAGAAAAATGAGTGGAGAGAGAGGATCTTTAAGGGAACTTGTGCCTTTACCTCCATCCCATTTCCTCCCTTTGGCCAGAGCAGCAGAAGCTAGGTGAGGGAACACCAGACACCTTCTCCTTGAAGGCACGGGCCTGAGTCCAGAGCTCCTGAGGTGACCCTTCAATTAGACAAATCCAACCCCCCATTAAGTAACCTAGAGTGGTTTCATTTACAGATGATAAATTTCTTTATGATGAAGTTCCAAGGCCAAGAAATGGATACTAGGTCTTCTGACACACACACACACACACACACACACACACACACACACACACACAGCCAAAGGGTAGAGGAGGGAGAAAAATAATGTTTAAGTCAGTATTCAAAAAATACTCACCATTTTATCAAATGGATTCTCTTATTTCCCTGGAATACCACAAACCCTGCAGCAGTGAATCCTAAAAATGTTGTTTTTTTCGTTGAATCCTATAAAAAAAAAAAAAAGAGAGAGAGAGAGAGAGAGAGAGAAATAAACACATCTTTGGACCCAGTGAAATGAAATGAAATAAATGATAAATGGTATGCTGTTCCTTTTTATCCTGGGTTAACTTCAGGTTGATTCTAACAATTAATAACAATTAAATAGGTTTCTGAAACAGAACTGCTAAGAACAGGCTTCCAAACTCTGGGCAAGATTGAGAAATCCAGAGCTTTTCCCTTTGAGGAACAGACCTTCGGCTCCACCACGGGCCTCCAGGAAAATAAATGCACATTAGCCCCAGGCACTGTAACTCCCAAGGGTCTACTGGGCTGCCTATGATCTGGATCCTCTCGGTGTATGAACGAACTCTTCCTGGGTGACATTCACACTTGAATGCAATGAAACCAAAGCCCTAGGCATCTCATTTAACTTGATTTAACCCACACAGGATTTTTCGAACCATTTTAGTATAAGAAATATGTACAGAAAAGCCAACTTTGCTTTCAGCATAGATCAGGAAAACTAAGCCTCTCATGGATAAGGTGGGTGAAGGCAAAGGAGTAACAACAGCAGCAAAAGCACGTCAGTGTCCGAGTTATGAGTGAACAGAGTCTCGAATGTCTGTATAAAGCCTAATTCGCTAAATGGAATAAAGTGATACCATTAGTTGGAAGGGACAGCTGGCAAACATTCTAAATCAATTGTGAGGGGCAGAACAGGAGAAAGCAATGGCCGGAGCGCCACCAGCTCCCCACCTTGGCCGTGCCTTGGAATCACTGGGGGCACCCGGTCTCCACCCAAATGGGTCCTGATATATGGGGCCCATTCTTGCAGTGGGCACGTGTGTGGCTCTCCAGGTGCTTTAATGAATCCTGAACTAAGCGCTACAGAATTTGACCACACACTATGAGCTGGTCCTGTCTGGAAACGTTCCTGTACAACTCAAAAACTTCTCTTTAAGAGCTTGACTAAAAAATGCTTAGTTTAGGATTAAAGCTAATGCCTGGTTGATGTATAGTTAGTTTAAAATACGGAAAGGAAACTATTGCTTACGTAAAACAGTTCTGGAAAACGTGTACACAGCATCTTTGGGAGAGCTTGATAAAAGATTCCCCAGCTCTATGCTCAGTATCCTGACTCAGGCTCCAGGGTGAGGCCCAGATGATCCTCACACAGAGGTGGCCTGTGTTTCACCGTAGAGAGAAATCTACAAATTTTAAGAGTAAGGGGGTAAAGGAAAAGGAGTACTCCTAATGCCAAAGTGTCATTTGAAACCTTTTCCTTGTTTTTTTATCCCCTGGCCAGTTTCCCATTTTAAAAGACTACATTGTTGCTGGCACAGGCTTTGAAAGCAAATCTGGCAGGATCCTCTAACTTCTCAGGGGTAAAACCATCCACTTGCTGAATAGGAAAATGTAGCTACTACACAGCAATTAGCAAGCAATTGGAAGAAATTCACTCCAGAGAAAATCAACTACCAGGCTTGTGATTGTAACCCACTGCTGCCCCTTGTAATTAGGTGCTGGGGTTAGGCTACATGAAGGTCCACAGAAAGCTGTGCAATGCTTGCACACAATTTAATTCTCTTCGGGGCAAAACAATCATTATATGAATGGACTTCAAGGAGTTTATTTTGGTGCAAGATATTGAAATCTACACATAGCTTTTTTGTATAATAGGTGCTTTCCATGAACTTTTTGAAGACCCTCTCTTTATCTTCCCATGGTGACCTTCTGTGAAGGACAGTTACCTTGCACGGATGAGGATCCACCCCATAGGTTTCCAAAGTGTGAGCTTTCAAGAGCAGGTTAAATTCAGCAACAGGTGGGCTCTGGCCTCTAAAAATCACACAAGAAAAGTTTGGAAGTAAAATAAAAAATAATTGAAACATGAAGTTCCTTTCATTCGATATGATATGATACGATAGTCCAGGGAACCAGCAGATGATGTAACAGTTACATCACTGGACTCCCACACGGCCGACCATGGTTCAAGTCCCACACCCTATGACTTAAAACTCACAGCAGGCATATGTGTATGCATGGTCAAGATACTGGGAGGAGAATGGAGCAGAAGGGATTGCAATGTGGCCATCCCTGAGAGGGTTGATTTCTCACTTTCCCTCTTCCTGTCTTTCTCTCTCTCTCTCTCTCTCTCTCTCTCCATCTGTCTTTGGCAAGGACACACACCCTATGGCAAAAACCTCTTAAAAAAATAGTCTCAACTAAATAAAGAGAAAAACCCTATATAAATAGAAGTCAGTAAAACTGATCATTATTTCTTACCATGCAGAGCCCTCTGCTAAGAATATGAGCTCATGTTCTCTAGCTAATTGTTCCATAACAAACTCACACATACCCTGAGTACGCCAGTGACCTGTACAGTTAATCAAGGTTATCAAGTTACCATAAGTAGATCCTTGCTAATTCAATCTTAATATGAAGCATCTGTTCTTTCCTACTCATTTAAAAAGATTATCCTTCTTGCTCAGGGTAGAAACTGGACTATCCTGTTACCCCATCAACAAGTCTAAACACAGCCATCTGGGCAGAAAGAACTGTGAACCACTCCATGAAGAGCCCTGGATTTTGAAAGAAATCCCAACCACTAGTCCTAGGACTGTCCTCCAGGGTGGTAAACAAGGTCTCGGGCTCCGGGGAAAAAAAAGGCTACAAATATAGATGACCGTGAAGTCTCTTAGGGCCACATTCTAAACCAGGACTGTGCAGTATGTCAAAGAACCTACTTTAACCAACATTAATATCCTACATGTGCCTTAGAGAATCTGAATCATTCCCCAAGGATAATTATGTAACTAATAACTAAGAAGAGTTTGCTGTAGAAAACAATGGGAATTCATTCTTATTTATGAAATGTGAAATCTCTAGTTCTCCCTAGAGATAGATTTCCCCTTTCCCCCCTCACATAGCATGTCATCATGTCTCTAAACCAGATAGTATCCCATCTCCTCACTCCCAATGCCTTCCAAGATCTTCTTCTCTTTACCCTTAGTTTACTGAAATTTCACTTGTATGTATGTGTGTGTGTGTGAATATATATATATATATATATATCCATCATTATCAGCACTGTGTAACCCTTTAAAAAAATTTGACAACTCATATATTTCTTTGATCATTTCTTTGATTATTTTCTTCCCTTCCCCACCTGTTCCCACACCACCCTTTTCAGAATTTCCTCTCTCCTTTGAGTAGATGGATTTTCAAACTTCTAGGTGGGTCCTCCATGTCTTTTAAATTTTGTTTCATTTTTTGTTTTATTGCTACAGGGCACATATATCTACCAGAGAGAGCAAAAGAGAGAGGAAAAGGGAGAAAGCTCTGTCCAGTGGGGTGTGGTCACGTTGCAATTTCTTCTCCATTTCTCCATCTTGTCAGGATTTGGGGCACACACACATGTGCCTGGTGTATTTTTCAATCCACAAAAACTGGGACTTGAAATGCACAGTTGCCCATGTGGGATTTCCATGCCCCCTCCCCATCTTAATCACTAGGTCATGGGGCCAGCTCCATGTTTCAATATTTTTATCTGTCTTTTGGAACTACAG